AAATAATTTTCAGATTTATCACTATCATAAGATGCTTCCAACCCGTCCATCTGGGTTTATGTGAGCATATTAAAATTGTAGGAAATAAGCTTTTCCTACTACCAATCCATTCCTCATCACTTGAAAACCCACGACTACCAATATCCTCCCTTTCAACATTTTCGAAATCGCTCTCTTCACTCCGTGAGCCATCTTCCACGAAATGGGCCACTTCCATGGTACAATACAGTTTTAACCCTAATCTATCAACCACACTATAAGTACTTAGCACAGTAATCAACTTACAGCAAATCGCAAACTTGATATGCCAGGTTTTGTTTTTTAGTTGGGATAAGCATCGTCTTCTCTGTTCTCTATAATCTCAAAAGCTTGCAAGTTGGAAGTTCTCTAGATGAGGGTTTTGAATCCACGTTGCCTTTCCAAATTTAGGAAGCACAATCAGATACTCCTTATTAGTTTTTCAAATAGAAACTGAGAATGGTCAGCGTGGAAAGATATGCCAACTGGGCTGCTTCTTTGGATCATTAAAAAAATTAAGGGCACGGGCATCTCATATTCAAATAGTGGGAGGTATTTTTTTGAACAAGACAAGTACAGGGTAGGGAGTTCACACTTAATGAAAGTTCAGGGTATTTTATTTAATTTTCCCATATATTAATGTTTTAACTGAAAATAGGTCAGGTGGCGGTGGTAAGTGGTAGATGGAGTCATTGGGACGACGGTGATAATTAAGACGGTTATAATTAGGGCAGTGACCACTAGGACGATGGTTATGAGGGCGTTATGGTATCACCGCGAGATGGTGTCACTGGTCGGATACTAAAAGGGTAGTTTTATAATATCGATTTAGAGGTATTCAGATTACGATTAATATAATTGAGTCACATTTTTTAAAATTCAAAAAAACTATATTTTGTTAGTAAATTACTTTTTAGTACTATGTTTACAAAATCCTTTTTCTTTAAACCATGTTTGGTAAGAAAATAATTTGAGAACCGACTAATTTCTCGAAGAATTAGGCGGTGTTTGACAAATGGCAGTTTCACCCCTTTTAATATTTTTTGAAATCGTGTTTGAAATCGTTGTTTGATAATAGTTGTTCGTTCCTAGCATTTTTGGACGAAACCGCTGAAATGAAAACGTTGCACATAGCAGAGTTGAGTCTACATTTAGAAATATGGCGTTTCTACTAATTGTTATGACCAAACAGCTAAATTACTAAACATCTTCGTACAATTCACCAAATTACTAGTCAAAAATGTTGACTAATTTCGCTATTAACAATCTGTCAACAAAATAACTCACCAAATTACTCTGCTAGTCAAACATGTTGACTAATTTCGCTATTAACAATCTGTCATTATCCTATCAACATAACCCGCAATCCACTAAAAGCCAAATCATCATCAAACAATATTGAACGGTGCACGTTCCAATAGAATCTTCTTTTAATTCACAATAACGAAAATTAGAAACACAAACTTTATTTGGATGGCCGTTAATATTTTGAGACAAACTATATAAATTGAATGTAAAAATGATTCGGTTCATAAACACGCGATCTTAACTGTAATGCAAAATGACTCATTGAATTCATTTTGGGGAACGGGTTTTTTCTAATATGACTAAATTTAAGCTATCCTCATCAAAACGTGATTACTTTAACATATGAAAAAATATGATGAATATGACAATAAATTTGTTTGCCAAAAAAAATGATTTGAAGTGTTATGCTAACGTCTGATACCGTGATACGATATGGACTAAATTGTTCAGATTTTTAATCTACTCATATATGAATGAATTTGGTATGTTTTAATGTGATGTTATGTGTATTTTACTACGTATTATTTAGTATCATTTTCTTGTTAGAGTATGGTCTTTCAACACTGGAAAAAAATCTAGATAAACATATCCTTAAATTTCGAGTTCAACGTACTCGTGTGTACGTGTTATATGATGTTACCTTTAAGAGATTATTATTATCAATGATAAAATCATATTTTTCGTTATTAAAAAAAATCATATTTTTCGAACTCTTTTGAGATTTATTAGGGTTGAACGTTGTTGTTGTAATAATAAAACAATATTCCAATTTTTTGAAGTAAAATTTTACCAAGGAACTGTCTTCATAGTTATCGGTTGTTTAATGTATTAATTAATACAAAACTTATCTTCTAGCATAATTCGTAACTTTATTGGAAGATCAATTAAATGGTGTGACATTTAGTTGAAGACTATTTAGTAGTATTATTTATCAAGAAAATTTGATATCAATATTTCAATTTCAGGTTATTTAATTTTTAATTTAAATAATTCTGTTAATGTAAAAAAACGATTATTTGGGTGTCACTGAGGAAAAGTTTGAGCCACTTTGATATACATTTAGAATAAAATTATAGTCATTAAAGTTATTAGAATCACATTTTGTATACTATTTTTGTTTTGGATATATTTGGAGTTATTTCGAAAATAACTTAGATTTTAAGTGCATGACAACACGGTTCTCTCTTCTCTCTAGAGAGAGAGGAATCCTAGCGGCCCTCTCCCCTCTTTGAAGGGGTTGAGATTTTCCGTCGCACCTATCAATATGAGGTTGGAGCGGCAGATTATACTGATTTTAAGTGTTATAACGTTTGAGATTGCAACTACGTCAGAGGAGATAGCGTTGACAGATGAACGAGGTGCGGCTGGGAGGATGTATTGAGGCGGTATCGTGAAGCCTTGGTCAGCCAGGGCCGTCTCCAGCGTTTTGGAGGCCCTAGGCGCTTTTTTTATTCATATTAAAATATTAATTAATGTTATCTCTATAACATCTTTTCAATAGAAGAAATTATTTTTACATATTGATCATAGAGCTCGTCAAGAATTGTAAATCAAATCTCTTTCAACTACTCCGTAATTCTTTCTCTTTAGGCATCCCGAGTCAATTTTTTTGTATACAGTCATGACAATACTCACGTGTTTATAGAAAATATAAAAATCACAAACAATCAATTTAAAACCTAAAATTTCTAAATACAGTCACAAATCAAATAAAATAACTAATTTAGTCATACACATACCAATACAATCATATTAATTACGGAGTACTTAACTTTACAATCACACTAAGACACTTGTAGTCGGTGTTTGATGTTTAGGCATATAACCAAAATCCTTGTAACCTACTCCTAGACATCTAGACATCTGTATTCTAGTTATTTAGCACTACGTATTTTATTGACTAAATTCTATAAAATAATACAGACTAAAATTAAAAGGAGATTACTTTTAATTAGAGAAATTCGTTCTCTGGGGAGTGAGGATTGAGAGGAATCACCAAATTTGAGATGTTGGAGGGACTTGTTCGGTGACCGTTGTTGAGTTGTTTTCTATGGAGTTGAGTTTAGAGTCGTACTCTACACTTCCACTTCCAATTCCAGCCACTATGAGTTAAAATTAAGGCCCTCAAATTATTTTTTTACATGGAGTCTTACTAATACTACGTACTTCTTATTTGAGGCCCTCTGCCGATGCGAGGCCCCAGGCAACCGCCTAGGCTGATTGGCCCCAAAGTCGGCATTGTGGTCAGCCATTCCGACAGTGGTGGAGTTGGTATTCACCCATATGGTAAGAGTTCATCCTCCTTCGGAAGCACCTTCATACCAGGAAGAGCTTTTTGAAAAGATTTTATTCATGTATTATTTTCTCTTTAGTAGCACTTGTTTCTGTTTAGATATGGTTTAAATGTTTGGATTTTGGAGTTCTTTGGATTAACTTCTTTTACCAAGAATTTATATTAACTAAAGCTCGTTTGATGACTCTATTTTTCAGCTTATCAATAAACTTTTTAATCAAACATATAATTTTTTATTTCGCGTGCTGGACTATGTAATAATAAGAAAAAAATAATATTGAAATTACTTATTTGATTGTATTGGCTAAAATTACTGTAGATTACCATTTTAGCTAATTTTTCATATAACTTTTTCTTTTTTTATTAATAAAATATATTTTTAATATAACAATATAATCAGTCAATACAACCACTTCAGCCAAAATATCATCATAAATTTTAGTAGAACCAAATGGTTCAGAAATTTCACAAGAATCAGAATCAAATGGTCCAAATGGGCTCTTAAAAACTCTACTTCTGCATCCACCGTTCCACTGTTGATTTTTCACGTCATCTTCACGTTAAGAATTAATGGTTCTGTTGATCTGTTTGATTACCAGATCTGGATTATTATGTTTCTAAGCTCAGAAACAGAATAAAAGGCTTTTGACTGAAGTTTTGTTCCCTTATGTTTTTTTTGTTTTTTTTACATTACTCCGTATTATTCTTATTCTTTTTTACCATGTACACCCAGACATGTTCACACTTCACACATTAAAACTGTACTTCGTATTAACTAAGGGGGTGTTTGATAGGGTGTGAAATAATTACTTTGCATGCAAGTGTAAGAATGTACGTAAAATGTTTACACGGTTTGATTTGATTATTTAATGTAAACTTTAAGGCACTTTTTTAAAACATTTCACACAGTATCATGTAAAGTATTTTATGTGGGAGATGGTGGTAAAATACTTTGCATGACTTTTATTAAGTACTGCAACGACTTTGCGTGCAATTTAAAAATAAATTACACATCCTGCCAAACAATGTAATCTATTTTACATGCAAAATGATTAATTTCCTATACTTTGCATGAATTACTTCGCGTGCAAAGATTTAACACGTAAACTACCAAACGACGAGCCCTAACAGTAACAGCTTTTAACCCAAACCAGAAAGATTGTACACTTCATATGAAGGAAAAAATCACGCAAGATCAAAACATTCACATGGGATCATCATACCAGACTTTAACGATCCAAGCTCTATCAATTAGATTCAAACAAAAAAGAACAATTCAGACATACACTGGATATCATAACAGGGTGTAAAGCAAAGAGAAGATGTTTTAAATTATTTAGTTGAAATGGACGTTATAAAACTGTATTCCTTTCAAAAATGGTGCAAATTCATCAACAAAGCACTTCATATTTTTGTTCATAGTCGAAAAAATACTGAATTTTTTCTTGCATTGATCTGAACCAAATGATACATTCATATATGGATAGGACAAAATGTTAGGATTGCCCCTGACTTTGACCAATGGCTACAAGAAGAATGGCCCATATGTTAATAAAAATGGACCAATCTCGATACCAGGGGAGGAGGGAATTAATTAATTCAATTAATTTAAAGAACAAAAGACCACTCACTCACTATACCTCTATCAATACGGAAAGGTACCAGTCATCCCAATATGTTCAAGTGTACCCTGCAACCCGTACTTCAGAACCGCCATCTTACCCGCTCTGTACCCGTTTCCATAAATGGGTGAGGTATCAGATTCGATTTGGTGTTTGAAGAAATCCCCGAGTTTCCTTTCGTACACAACATCACCATGGTTTGATGATGAGGAGGCACTATCGTTGCAGCATGACGAAAGTGACTCAATCTGAGATTCCAACCACATATGAGCCATCACTTGACATATCCCTTCTTCTACATCTTGGCTCATAGTTCTATAACCTTACTCAACCATATAATTAGCGTACACTATGTTAGTAGAAATTACACTTACGTCCTCTTTGGTGTATAACATCACAATAAGCAGAACAATCAGAATAAGTAAGCATTTGACTTCCAAATTTGACTGAAACGAATTTCACACAATTACACAAAATCAGCTGTTTTCAGATTCAGCGATTTTAAGCGATAAGACAAATAACCCTTACCAAACCTATCCTTAATCCCCAAATTCAAGACACAACCAAACTCGATATCAATATACCCTTGATTTAATCTTATTAGGCAGCACTTAAGAGAATAATTACCTCTAAGTCGAAGCCAGGCGTGCATCAACTCATGTGCTAGGATTGATCCCGTCAAAAGCCTGTACGAAGAGGAGAAGCATTATTACTCAATTTATATCTCGTCATGTTTCATCATCTTAGTGTTAGCCTGTTAGAGACTACCATGTGCAAAGAAACAAAAACTAAAGCAAAAAATATACCTAGGAAGACCATACAGGATAAGAATTGCAGTCACTTCACAGTGACGTGTCAATCTATATGGTTCTGTCCGCATGTCTATGGCGCCATTTACAGACTGAAAATCCCAAAGCATCAATTACCATTTGTGCTTTAATTCTTGATATACATAAGCAGGCTGCAGCTTAAGAATATACTTACAGTGCTGCTGATGGTTTGTTCCTCAGAAAGGCAGAGTCCTCTGGTCTCAGGCATGTGATGATGCCCCTGAAAGAATTCAAAAAGAAGTGCTTAATGCCTTAATATATTTACACTATAAGCAAATAACATATGAATAAATTGAAGGATCCAAAAGAAAAAGGTATGTTTGGACCTACTTACATATTTCTCTCCATCCATGGCTTCGTTCAATGCTTGCCTCTCAACCAAGAGCAAAGGGACCTTCTGTTCCACTTTCATGTTCAGCCCTTCGTAGAATTCTTGTATATCAATATAAAGGGGCTGACACGCATTTGAATCCATAATTGCCGAGTCCAAACACTCCGTACATAGCTTCCGACCGTCACCAAGTGTGACCGATCTTGTTTCCCGTGCCTGCACCCAATAAGAGTCCATTTGGTAATGTTATTTCTCTGAAATGACTAAATGTGCTGAAATCTATGTAGGTAAAAGTGTTGGGTGACATCTATTTCGGCTAAATAAGCAAGTCAAAAGCTGTTTGATAAGAAGAATAAGCAGAACCAGGCTACCAAACAGAGCCCTTTTCAAATTCACCTCCATCCGCTCACAACTACAGCACCGTGCTGTTCCATCATGCTCATGAAAAGGGCAGTACTTCTGACACCAAAAAGGGTGTGCACGGTATTCGATCAGTCCTGCTGCATTTGTAGGGATCTGGAGGGAAATATGTACTATTAGCTCGCAAATAAAGTAGAACAAAAAGACATATTCACATGCGATGAAGCATCTAAAGGGACAAAGACGTGATAATGTAAAAACCTAGGTTACTATGTCTAATAATGTGATCCCCACAATATGAAATAACCCCAATTTGGTTTATGTAGTTATCTATCAAAGAAAGAGGAACATTAGGAGGATTGGTTTTCTTGCAGAAAAGTGAAGAGAAAACAAATGGTGAATTGGATTTTTGAATATATAAACTTACAAAGTGTTTGCAGACATCACACTGCGGGTGATAATGTACCTTGTAGCAAGTTCTATGATAGGGAAAACTTCCTGACATAGAAAACTAGAAACATAGAAATAGAAAGGTCAGAGAGAATGATTACTGTCTATGCTGCACATAAAGTCTCAGAGAGGAGCATTTCCACGTTTGAACATGTTTTGTTCTAAAATACTCAGTCAACATATCATTTTAATATTCACTGTATTATTATAACTAACGAAAACATTATGCGGCAGTGCGGCACTCCTCGAGGAAATGTTACACATTCATTTCATCTACGGAAGTGACTTTTGACAGATATTTCAGGGATGTTTACTTGAATAAAAATAAGTTAAAATCCATTACATCAAAGAAGGATGACTATGGACTAAATATAAGGAAAATTTAAGTAATTTTCATGTTTGCATTAAGTATCTTTTGGACCTTTTTGGACTTCAAATGCATACTCAAATATACTGATATTATTGTATTAGCATTAACTTTTAAACTCACAAAAAAGTACGGAGTAAAAGTTATGCGATTCTTTAAAAAAAAATACATAACCAATCTTTGATATTTACATTTTCCCCTGACATTTCAATTTTGAAACTGCCATTTTCCCATGTCTCGTTCTTCTTTCCAGTTTTCTGTTTCGACTTTGCTTGATAGTTGATACATATTCTTCAGATGCTCACCCGCACACAAAAAATCCCTATCTAGTTCCATTTTCACATCCAAAACAAAGGCCTACTTTTTAAAATTTTATTGCTCATTACTTTGATCTTTCTTTTAAAAACAGCTAACTCACAAATAATCTTGAATGCAAGGACTTATATAAATATACATGGACAATTTAAGACACGTCTCAAGTGTAAATTCTGTCAAGGCTCACACGATGTCCAGAGGCAATCTTTTTTGTCAATAAATTCAAGTAATTCAATATATGTAAAGCTTTTCAGGATATATATATAACAAGAATAAGAATACCAGTATAAGAATAGACAATAAATTAACAACCTAACCTTCTCATATGAGTATATGACAAAACACAGAGATATAAACTAAAAAAGTTGCAGCATCTACTGAAGTATTGTGAACAATGTCATACCTCATAAAGAACAATGTCATACCTCATAATCAGATATTGGATGGTGGCAGGCTTGACATCTAAAACACTCTGGGTGCCAAAATGTACCCATGCAATTCAAGAAGCGTCCATGACCAATCCCATTGTTACAACCAGCACACAGCAAACTAAATACAAATATAACATCGATAACAATATTCTAAACACCAAAAAAAAGAAATAAAAAGGCCTATTGGAAGTTAATGAAAGATTTCATCAGCTAAGTAGTGGCAAATACCAAGAGAAAGAATCTACTTTATCAGCCCAAATGGAAGCACTCAGGAAATTGATTGAGAACCCATTTTATTTAGGAAAATTATGGCCTTGAAATGTAACTTGCTGCTCAATTCTCAAAATCAGAAAAAATAAGGGCGTGGGTAAGAGGATTTAACAAACCTATAGTGTGCTGGATAGGGTAAAGGTTGATAGAAGTTTCCATGACCATGACCATGACTATGTCCATATCCCTGCCAGCTGCCATTTGGGTTTCCCTGCCAAGGTGGAGATTCAACATTCAAGCTATCTTGTAGAGCTCTGGCAAGTTGTTCATCATTGTTTAACTCTGGTTCACTATCTGCCACAAAATAATCATCCCATAAATAATACTTAATTATGGAAACTTGGTTTTTACAATATATAAATACACACACACACACAAAGTTTTGCATTTTCATGGAATAGAAGTAAACTACTCACCAATTACATTTTTCCCTCTATGGTCCTCCTCTGATAAGGATAATGTAATACCACTACTTACATCTTCAGCATCCGACCATGAGTCCTGCAATATTATGAGCCATAAAATTCAATTAAGGGACTGGGAGTCAAGTGCTTTGATCAAATTTGGATTACTGCACGAAATGATGAAACAAATATAACCAACCTCTACCTCAATGGAAATTAATGTTACATATATATTAAAGAGCTTCATAAGTTCACTAACAAATTAGCTGTACACCTAACATAAGGATGCCCATTCATTAAATTTATAGTGAAAACCATTTGAGAACTCACGAATACTAACCAATGAAGTAGATGGATGGTTCTCATCTCTGTGCCCTTCGTAAGTCCAATCACATTGACCTTTTGAAATCTTATGTTTGGAGCCTCGAAATATTTTTTTCAGCCAACCCATTAGAGATTGTATAGTCTCATGATCAAGGGAGCTCTACCCTGCCTACCTATAAAACATGGAGTCAGACGTTCATATTAGCAGCAAAAGATATCACAAGCTTTCAGATTAATTGACTCATCATAGAGCATTGAACATGATGTGAAACCGTCACGAGAAAGCCTTCGTACTGGACCGCTGATGAATTAATTTGGCGGCCAAACTTTTCATATGGACTAATTAAAAGCCAACATCAAACAATCACCTACTTCTTCCCCTCACCTTTATTCCTTCCTCATTGCCACTTGACGCAACCGTTGCCAGCTACGAACAGGGAGACTCAAGCCAGGGAGAAATCGGGTGCTTAGCACGCCTCGAAGAGACTCAAACTTCTGTAAGGTTGACCAGAAACGAAATCCAAATGCCTCGATCACCGCCGCGATAGATGGATACGCGCAAGCTCCGGCGGTGGTAGCCGCTGAAGAGAGAGGTGCTGAGCTGGAGGCGCAGCTAGGAGTGGAGTTCCCTTTTCCGGCGGCGAATGTAGCTCGGTCGGACGGAAAACTGCCGGAGTAAAGGCGGTGGGCGGTGGTTTGGAAGAAATCGAGAAATGTGAATCCGGTCGGTGGTGATGGGTCGTTGCACCGAGCTTTGAGGGATGGTCTTTATATCTTTTTAGCTTTTGGTAGCGGTGATTGTTGCTGTGTAGGATAGAGAGTGAAGAGGAGGAAGAGAGACAATGAAAAAGAAAGTGTTGTTTCACTTTTGTCCCCAATTATTTTATTTTATTTTTTTTTCATTTTCAATTCATTTTGCATATGGAGTATATGTAGTTGAAAGACATTTCTTTTTCATAACATTTTTATTATGTTACATTGTTACTTACTTCCATAGTAAGGAAATTCTTACCTTGTTTTTTATTTTTATTTTCTACCACACTTTTTTCAATTTTATCATTCTATTTCTTATTTATCATATTTTTTCTTTTTATATTTACTACTACTTCCGTCCCTTAAAACTTTGTCATCTTTGACTTTTCAAGTCAATAATGGTAAAGTTTAGACCATGAATTTGATTAGTATAATATTTTGGAATTTATAAATTTTATACTTTTATGAAAGTACTTTTAACAAAGAACATCTTTATATCATTTTTATATTATAAATAATTTCTCATAAAAATGTATAGTTGGTCAAACTTGAACATGGTTGACCCAAAAATTCAAAGATGACAAAGTTTTAAGGAACGGAAGGAGTATGTTTTCAATTTTTTCAATTTCTCTTTCATAAGTTATCTACACTAATAATTATCCTCTATTATTTGTATTAATGTTTGTGAATTACTAGTGTGTAAATTATTGTAAAAGATATAGAGTTTATTTTGTATATTTGTATACATTCTCAAGTTTCATGCATTTATTGGATATAAAACATTGTTTGATTTTAGGTCAATCAATGAATGTATGTCAAATAGAATAGAACATACAAAAATATGTGTGGAATATAAATAAATGTAGCTCAAGACTTATTTTATATTTAAATGTTCCTAAGGAAATGGATCTTGTCTGAACCAACAAGGAATATTATCAATTAAGGATTTGAAAGATGTGTTCACTATAAATAAGGGGTCTGAAAGATAAAGAGTGTCAATTGGGACTGTGCAAATGGTTTCAACTTTGCTCGTCATATTGTGTTATCGTATTCATTTCATAGTTAATGAAAATCACAATGTACACGCGTCATAATGCATGAGATAGAAGTTATTAATTAGTCGATCAGGGGTGATGCAACACATTTCTCCCTTTGCATGATAGAAGTGTGTCCCCCCATACTGTGTTTCACATGTTCCGGTGTTCCATACACGAATTAATTGCAGTAGGTTGTGTTCAAAATAGTTTGAAATATGTACGCAGTATATTTATAATACGCAACAATAAAAGATAGTGCTAAAACATGTTATCTATTGAGTATTTATAATTGACACATATATTTATATTTTTATTATTATCTTAAACATTTTCATAAATGAAATATGTATATTTATAATACATAGTAATAAAAAAAATAGCACTAAAACTCAATTTTTATATTAATTTTGTATTATTACCTCCGTCCTGGGTAAGTGTTCTCATTCAATTTACGATGTTTGACTGGTCATAAAGTTAAGATCACTGTCAATAATAAGATTATTTTCAGTAAATAAAATTTACATATTCAAAAACAACATTATAAGTGATATCAAGTCGCAAAAAACAAATTTTATAAACGTTATATATAAAGTAAAAGATTAAGAACATATCTGTGCATATTAGGTGTTGAATTTCGATTTCTTACTTTTCATATATTTTTCTTTTATCGTGTACATTATAAATCTTTTTAACTTCTCTCACTCATTTGACACGAAATATGCACGGGTTTGCGGAGTCATTCCAAAGATTTTTTTTTATCACAAAATGTATGGAATATAAAATAAATGTTCACCCACACTTAGCTTATTTATATTTTCTTGTTTGCATGGTATTAGAATCTGTCCGAAATAGTAATGGGTCGGGACATCACATACGTTAAATAAAATAGATCTTATATCACAAAACACGCGAGTAATGATGCATGCAATGAGAGAACTGATTGCTCGATTGGGCCACTGCAAACGTTCATGACATTTCTCGTCAACATATGTACCCATATTTATTTTGTATTTGAAAACCACAAGATACATGCATAGTGATGCCCAGGACGAAAGTTATTAATTGCTCGATCAGCAGGGCTTAAGTGGTGCTTTCATGGTATGGGGACACGTTTTCGGAGAGCAAAAGCATAAACACTTACGCCTTACGCCATGCTGATCGAGCAATTAATAGCTTTCATTTCGGGCATCACTATGCATGTATCTTGTGAGTACATATGTTAACGAGAAATGTCATGAACGTTTGCATTGGCCTGATCGAGCAATCAGTAACTCTCATTGCATGCATCATTACACATGTGTTTTGTGATATAAGATCTATTTTATTTAACGTATGTGATGTGCCGACCCATTACTATTTCGGACAAGTACTTCTGATCCCATGCAAACAAGAAAATATAAATAGGTGTGGGACTACATCTATTTTATATTCCATACATTTAGCGATAAAACATCCTTAATAGGGATTTTGACACAAATTTGGATGGCTCCGCGAACCCGTGCATATTCTGTGTCAAATGAGTGAGAGAAGTAAAAAAGGCTTAAAATGCACATGATAAAGGAAAAAGGTAAAAGTATGAAAAGTAAGAAATCAAAATTTGACACCTAATATGAGCGGATATGTTCTTAATCTTTTACTTTATATAAAATTTGTTTTTTACAACTTGATAACACTTATAATGTAGTTTTTGAATATGTAATTTTTTTTTTACTGAAAATAATCTTGTTTTTGACTGATCAATCAACTTTATGACCAGCCAAACATCGTAAATTAAATGAGAACATTTATCTAGGACGGAGGGAATAATATAAAATTAATATATATACATATATGTGTGTGTGAGTTGTAGTACTATCTTTTTATTACTACGTATTATAAATATACATATTTCATTTATGAAAACGTGTAAGATAATAATAAAAATTATAAATATTTGTTTCAATTATAAATACTCAATAGATAACATGTTTTAGTATTGTCTTTTTATTATTGCGTATTATAAATATACATATTTCAAACTATTTTGAACACAACCTCCTGCAATTAATTCGTGTATGGAACATTGGAACACGTGAAACACGGTATGGGAGACACACTTCTATCATGCACCGCCTTTGATCGACTAATTAATAACTTCTATCTCATGCATTATGAGGTGTGTACATTGTGATTTTCATCAACTATGAAATGAACACGGGGACACGGTATGGCGAGGAAATTTTAAAACATTTGCACAGTCCCGATCGACACTCGGTCGGAACACTTTATCATTCAGGTCCCTTATTGATAGTGAACACATATTTCAAATCTTGAATTGATAATATTCCTTATTGGTTATTGATAATATTCAGACTTGAAAGATAAAGTGTGTCGATCGGGACTGTGCAAATGTTTTCAACTTTTCTCGTTATACCATGTACCCATATTCATTTCGTAGTTTATGAAAATCACAATGTACACACGTCATAATGCATGAGATAGAAGTTATTAATTGGTCGATCGGGGGCGGTGCAACACATTTCTCCTTTTGCATGATAGAAGCGTGTCCCCCATATTGTGTTTCAGTTGTTCCGACGTTCCATACACGAGATAATTTCAGGAAGTTGGATACAAAATAGTTTGAAATATGTATATTTGTACTAAAAAATTATAGTATTAAAATATATGTTGTCTACCAAGTATAAATATATAAAAGACACAAATTTTAATAATATTTTTATTATTTTACTCATTTTTTAATTGAAAACGTTAACCTTAAATTTTCTTAGTAAAGTTTATATATTTCTTCCCTTTTTCTCATTCTATAGAAATTCAATGATTATATTGCTTGATTGGGGCGGTGCAAACGTTTCTCGTTTTGCATGTCAAAAACGTTTTCCCATTTCGATTTTATACTTTCAAAACTATTGTGTATGTTTCGTTCCTTGAATTTCTTTTTTCGTTAGAAATACAAGAGTACCAATAAATACAGTTAGAAACTTTAATCATACTTCTTCATATTATATTTTCTATCTTTAATCTCTTTTCTAATTGGATTTCTTAGTTTGCGTACCTTTTCTTCTTCCCTTAATTATGTACATTTTAAACTTCTCTCATACGTCTTTGGCACGGATATGCCACGAAATACGCACAGATTCTTCCAACTTTTTGCCAAAATCCTTGCTAAATTCATTTTGTCACAAAAGTGTGTGGAATATAAAGTAAATGCACTTCCACATTTTTATATTTTCTTGTTTTCAAGGTACTAGAACCTCTCCGAAATCATATATAATCGATTGACACATCACAACTATGAAGTAATATAGATCTAAAATCACAAAATACAAGCATAATAATGCATGCGGCGAGTGATATCGATTGCTCGACCGGGGCAGTGCAAATCTTTCTCCTTTTCTCGTCACCATGGGTTCTCATATCCATTTTGTATTTGAAAACCACAAGATACATGTCTGGATCGTGCCGTTATTCATTTTTTGGTCGGTTAGTCATTGCCATTTTTAGAAGTGTGTTGTCGTTTTTCATTGGGGGGTCACACCATATTTATGGATCGATTTAGCTCGGATACAATGTCTAGTCCCGACATTCCATCCTAAAATGTCACCTCGTTGGAGGAGTTGCCCCAAATGTTAATAATGCACTTTTATTACTTCATATGTTACCGACGTGAGACTTCAACAAAACATGTGTGGAGTAAAAATAAATGTAGCTTTACATTTATTTTATATTTACATGTTCTAAGGAACCAGAGCTTGTCCCAAACAACAAAGAGTTTTGTCAATTCAAGACCTGAAAGATAAAATATGTTGATCGGGGATGTGCAAATATTTTCAGCTTTTCTCGTCATGCACGCGTCATGATGCATGAGATGGAAGCTCGACTAGGGGCGGTGCAAACATTGCACCTTTTGCTTGATAGAAACGTGTCTCCCGTACTAGTGTTTCATGTGTTCCAACGCTAATACGTGAGGTAATGGTAGGAAGTTGTATCCAAAATAGTTTTTTTATCATATCCAAAATAGTTTGAAATATGTATATTTCTTAGGGGTGGGCGC